CGCCTCCCCACCTCGACCCCCTTCCTGGGGCCTAAATCTTCGCCAGCGTCGCCGCCAGCGTCTGTGCCGCGTCCCTAGCCCTGCGAAGGACAGGCCTCGCGCCAGGACCCCGGTGGACTTCTGAGGTGGCCAGAGCCCCGCCGCGGCCCCCTGCCCCCACCCTGGGTGTTCGTCCGCCCACTCGCCCATCGAGCCTCGCGACCTCGCGTCCCCCATCCCACCGTGCCTCGGGATTCAGGTCTATTGAGCCGAGATACCCTCCCGCGCGTCCCAGTCCCCAAGCCATGAGCCCCTCGCCCACCGGGTCTCGGGCCTGGCGGCTTCCCTATCAACCCCGCTGCTCTGGTTATTCCAGTCAGAGGCGCCTGCAGCCCACCAGCCCCTCCTCCCAACCATTGTCCCTCTACCTCCAACCTCCGCGACTCACACTCCTGGGCTTCAGTCCGTAGGCATAGCACCCCTTTCCACACGCACTCAGGATCTCCCTTCCCAGCCCCCCACCCACACTCTGGGCTTCACACACCTCCTTTGGGACTACTGCCGCCTGCCCCTAGGCCTTGGGATTCACTTGTAACTACAAGGCTGCCCTGCCCCCACTGCCTCCCTCCCACTGTTCCAAGCCGACCTACTCCAGGCTGCAGGGCCTTGGAGACCATCCTTTGAGCCCCCCAGTTTTGTGTTATCTCAGAACAAACACCCCAGTGTTCTCCGCTTTGGCCTGTCCCCAGCCACTGTGCAGCAGGCAACTCCTAGGCCTCACTTACCACACCCGGCCTGACAGCTGTTGCCATTTGCTTCCCCAACTCCTGGATGGCCTTGATTTTCTCACCTCCCCTCTCACTCTAGCTTGCCTGTTGTCTTTTCCTTGTGTGTTCCAGGTGCCAGGATGGTGGGGGAACTCCGCTACAGGGAATTCAGGGTTCCCCTGGGGCCCGGCTTGCATGCCTATCCTGATGAGCTGATCCGCCAGCGGGTGGGCCATGACGGGCATCCTGAGTACCAGGTCCGCTGGCTCATCCTCAGGCGTGGCGACGATGGGGATGGGGCCTCTAGCCAAGTGGACTGCAAGGCTGAGCACATCCTGCTATGGATGTCCAACGACGAGATCTATGCCAACTGCCACAAAATGCTGGGCGAGGATGGCCAGGTCATCAGGCCCTCCCAGGAGTCTGCAGGGGAGTCTGGGGCCCTGGACAAATCTGTGCTGGGGGAGATGGAAACCGATGTGAAGTCCCTGATTCAGAGAGCCCTTCGGCAGCTGGAAGAGTGTGTGGGCAACATCCCTCCTGCTCCTCTACTTCACACTGTCCATGTGCTCAGTGCCTATGCCAGCATCGAGGCCCTCACTGGGGTATTCAAAGACCCAAGGGTCCTGGACTTGCTCATGCACATGTTGAGTAGTCCTGATTATCAGATTCGCTGGAGCGCAGGCCGGATGATACAAGCCCTGTCCTCCCATGACGCTGGTGAGGGGCCGTGTGGGGAGGAAGGGAAAGCAGGAAAGGGGCAGGGTCTGCTCAGGGACTCCCAAGACACTGTGGCAGGAGCCTCTGACTTCATCAGTACGTAAACGATTCTGTTGTCCTTCTCTTAGAGTTGGAAGAAAAGAAAGTGGGAATGGGGTGGGTATCTCTGCCTAAAGGGAAAAGACTGAATGCTCAAGAACCTAGTCGGTGTTGTATGCAAAGGAAGAGTCGAGTTTGGACTATTGCAGATTGTGTGTATGTGTGTGTGTCTGTGTATGAATCAGATAGTAAATTTTGGCTTTTGAAGCAGATCAGCAAGTCATGTCATTCTCACTGTGTGGCAGCAAAAGCATTGGACTGAAGAAGTAGAGGGTCTAGGAGGGATGCCTGGGAAGTGTGAAGTTAGGGAGTAATTACTGATTGGGGCATGGGTTACAGGGACCCGGACTCAGATCCTTCTGTCACTGAGCCAACAAGAGGCCATTGAGAAACACCTGGATTTTGACAGCCGCTGTGCTCTGCTAGCGCTGTTTGCACAGGCCACACTCTCTGAACATCCCATGTCTTTCGAGGGCATTCAGCTGCCACAGGTATCCCGTTGGGGGTATGGGGTGGGGGAAATCTGTGCACAGGATATAAAGACCAGGCCCTTTCCCCTGTCTATGGAAGACAGTGTGGAGAGTGGGGCTTAGGCTGGGACAGGGTGGATGTAAGCTAAAGGCTATATCCCACAGGTCCCAGGAAGGCTGCTCTTTTCCCTGGTGAAGCACTATTTGCATGTCACCTCCCTCCTGGATCAACTGAACGACAGTGCTGTGGAACCGAGAGCCCAGAACAACTCTGCTTCTGAAGAGTTGAGTGGGGAGAGAGGTCAGCTGGAGCTGGAGTTCAGTATGGCCATGGGCACCCTGATCTCTGAGCTGGTGCAGGCCATGCGCTGGGACCAGGCCTCAAGCAAACCAAGGAGCTTGGTGCGGTCCCCCTGTCCCATCTTCCAGCCTCGGCTGGCAGATGTGGGCTCAGGGCATCCACCTACCCAGGCTCAGCCCTCCCTCAGGAGGTCAAGACGGTTTCGCCCCCGCTCTGAGTTCGCAAGTGGCAATACCTATGCCTTGTACGTGCGCGACACACTGCAGCCAGGGATGCGGGTGCGGATGCTGGATGATTACGAGGAGATCAGTGCCGGGGATGAGGGCGAGTTCCGGCAGAGCAACAATGGCGTGCCCCCTGTGCAGGTGAGCGACGGGACACTGTTGGGGACCTATATGGGATGGGGCATAGCTGGGGCTTCCATACAGGAGCTCTGGCTTCAGAAAGATTGGGATGGTGAAAGAGGCTCAACGGTTGATAGAATGGCCATTTAGAGGGCTGAGAAAATCTGGATTAGGAAGCTATAAGGTCAAGAAGATTCACACCCAGGAAGAAACCGACATAGCAAGATTCCCCCAAAGGTCAGGGCAGGGAGATGAGTGGTTCAGGCTAGGAGGAAGTGTAGGGCCATAAGCCCTCAGAGGTAGGGTGAGAGGAAAGGAAGCTCCTCCCCAGAAAGGAAAGGCGTCCTTTGTGTGTGTACATATTCTCCATATGCCAGTGTTTTTCTATTTGGAGGTTTTTCCAAACCTGGCCGGGGGGTCACCCCGGGGGCTATAAATCCTCATTATTGGTCCACAGCCAGTTACTAGCGAGCTGTCTCTTCCCTTTCCCTCTCTCTTTTTCCCTGTCCTCCAGGTGTTGTGGGAGTCAACAGGCCGTACCTACTGGGTACACTGGCACATGCTGGAGATCTTGGGCTTTGAGGGGGATGTTGAGAACGTGATTGAGGCTAATGAGTACCAGGGGGCAGTGGCCAGTGGAGCCCTAGGTGCAGGTGAGCTCAGAGAAAGCAGGGGTTAGCTCTGAGCAGAGCTCTGAGCAGTGGTCTGGCTGCGTGGGTAGGGACATCCCTGTGCCTCATGGCCTGTTTCCATAGCCCTGCCCTCCTGGCGCTGGAAGCCCATGACAGAGCTCTATGCTGTGCCCTACGTGCTGCCTGAGGATGAGGACACTGAGGAGAGTGAACACCTGACCCAGGCTGAGTGGTGGGAGCTCCTCTTCTTCATCAGGAAGCTGGATGGTCCTGACCATCAGAAGATTCTCCAGATCCTCCAGGAGAACCTAGATGGGGAGGTAGAGCCAACCTGGAGACACTTGGAGGCTGAAGGGTTCCCCTGCAAGGGCTGGACTATGCAGAGCATTTGCAAGGCTGAAGATGAAATGTGGAGGGCAGATAGCCTAAGAGGCGCAGGGGAGGGGTCTGGAATGTTCAGAGGTGGGAGGGTGCTGGCAGGCTGTTTGGGAGGAGCCAGCTGCTAGACATGAAATGATCAAGATGGAGGATGTGTGTGCAGAGAGATCCCTAGCCCTACCAGGTGCCCTCAGGAGCCTCTGTGCCAGCAGGACTGCCTGCAGTGATAGCTTCTTCCTGATGGCAGATTCTGGATGACGAGATCCTGGCGGAACTGGCCGTACCCATAGAATTGGCCCAGGACCTGCTGCTGACTCTGCCACAGCGACTTGATGACAGCTCCCTCAGGGACCTGATCAGTTGCCATGTCTACAGGAAGTATGGGCCTGAGATCCTGGCAGGGCACCTGGCCTACCCATCCCTTCTAGAAACTCAGCAAGATATCTTCCTGCTGGAAGCCCAGGCCCAGCCTCAGGAATCAGAAAATGCAGCCAGAGTGGAAGGTGGGTGCCAGACTTACCTGCGCTAGAGCATTAGTACAGGAAACATGTCTCTGCTGATTCTTGTGCAGTCCTGTCTGGAAGAGATGGCATGTTAGGGAGAATCTGAAACTTCGAGATAAGCAACAAATGGAGA